TGTATGTGTGTATTGCCTGCATGTAGGTAAGTGCACCCATGTCGTGCAATACCTGTAGAGGACAGAAGAGGCTGTTAGATCCCCTGGAACTGGAGTTACAGACAGTTGTTAGCTGTCATGTGGGTGCTGGGATTCGAACCCAGGTCTCCTGCAAAAAACATTCAGTGTTGTTAACCACTGAGCCATCTCTCCAGAGAGCCCCAGTATGTACAGTTTTAAGTTTGTAATGTGTCTGTTAAAAATTGAGCTGGGTGTGGTGGCGCACGCCTTTAATCCCAGCACTCCAGAGGCAGAGGCAGGCGGATCTCTGTGAGTTCAAGGCCAGCCTGGTCTACATAGTGAGTTCCAGGACAGCTGGGGCTACAGGGAGACCCTGTCTCAAAAAGACCAACAAAAAAAAAAAAATTGAGAAGCAGCAGCCAGGGGTCTGGGGAGATGACTCAGTGGGTAACACCCCATCATACATACCCACATGCAAACACCACAAATCACACACACACACAGAGAAAAAAAAAAACTGGGTATGGTAGTATACTGAGGAGGCAGAAACAAGAAGATTGCTGTGAGTTTGAGCCCAGTCTGGCCCTCATAGTAATTTCCAGGCCAGTCTGGGCTACATAGTGAGACCCTATCTCAAAAAACTGAAAACAGCAACAAAAAGCAAGCAAACAAGCAGAAAGAGAATAAATTTGGTCTCCATACTCTTGGACTTGACTTTAAGGTGAGATGAGGCTGCTGAAGACTTGTCTCTCTCTTACAGATGCAAAGCCAGACCTTCCCATGGGCCAGTGACCTGTTTGAATTGTACAGTAGCCTGTGGCTGAGCTGGATTTATCTGAAGCCTCCCAGGCTGCACGCACATAGCCGACACAGTACAGCATCCAAGTGGAAATCCAAGTGTTCAGATCTAAGTCCACTTTCTTCTCTCTATGCTACATGAAAACTCAGTGAAGCAGACGGTGCAGGGGACAGCCATGGTACTGGGGAAGAGGAAACACACACTTCTTTGGAAGACCATATGCCCTGTCAATAAAATTACTGTTTGGGCTTCCAGTTCCACTTCTAGAAATACCCTTTGTTAGGGTTAAAAACAGCAACTATTAATGTCTCCAAATAAGTTAAATGGATTTTCTCTATTGTCTGTTCATAGGATGGACTATGCAGCAGATGATGAGAACAAAAATTATCTACATATCTCTAAGGTGGAAAAAAAATGTGTGTGTGTTTTAAGAGCCAGGAAGTACATTTTATATTTTTTTTAAAAATAGGGGCCAGGCCAGGCATGGTGGTGCAGTTCTTTAATCCCAGAACTTGGGAGGTAGAGGCAGGAGGATCTCTTGTGAGTTTGAGGCCAGCCTGCCCTACATAGACAGTTCCAGAGCAGTTAGAGCTACCAAAAAAGGGTGGACTGGAGAGATGGCTCAGCATTAAGAGCACTGGTTGCTGTTGTAGAGTACCCAGGCTTGGTTCCCAGCAACTACATGGCAGCTAACAACCATCTGAAACTTCAGTATCAAGGGATCTGATGCCCTCTCCTGACCTCTGTGGGCATTTCATGCATGGATGTACTTGTATATGTGCAGACAAAACACTCACAGACATAAAAATAAATAGGGACTGGAGAGATGATCCAGCAGTTAAGAACACTGGCTCCTCTTCCAGAGGACCCAGGTTCAGTTCCCAACAGTCATATAGTGGCTAACAACCATCTGTAACTCCAGTTCCAAGGGATCTGACACCCTCTTCTGGCCTCCACAGGTTTGCATGCATGTGGTATAATTACAGTAATTATAATTGTGGTATAATTATGCAGGCAAAATATTCATATATATTAAATAAATAATTTTTAATAAAACCAAAAATAGAGGCTGGAGAGATGGCTCAGAATGTAAGAGCTCTGGCTGCTCTTGCAGAAGACCTGGTTTTGAATCCCGGTACCCACATGGTGGTTAACAACTGTTCATAACTCCAGTTCCAGGAGATTCAACAAGCTTTTCTGGCCTCAGTGGGCATTGCACGCCAGGAGTGCACTTACACATATGCAGGTACTCATACACATAAACTAAAAATGATTTTTTTTAATTTAAAAATAAAACCAAAAATGTGTACACACACACACATACACAGAGAGAGAGAGAATGAGAGAGAGATAGCTCAACAGGTAAAGGCACTTGCCACCAAGTCTCATGACCTGAATTTGATCCCTAGAACTCACGTGGTAGGAGGTAAACGGAGAGAACTGACACTGATTCCTGAAGGTTGCCCTGACCTCCTCATGTTTGTCATGGCGCACGTACACACACACACACACACAGAGTAAATAATTGGCCTGGGGAGATGGCTCAAATTGGTAAGTACTTGCCACACAAGCATGAGAACCTAAGTTTGATCCCTATCACCCATAAAAAAAGCTGGGTGCCTCTGTGCACCTGTAATCCCAGTGCTGGAGTGGCAGAGACAAGAAGATCCAAGGGGCATACCAGGCAGCTAATCTAGCTCTCGGTGAGCTCCAGGTTCAGTGAGAGACCCTGTCTCAAAAAAAGAAAAAAAGGGGCCGGGCATGGTGGCACATGCCTTTAATCCCAGCACTCGGGAGGCAGAAGCAGGCGGATCTCTGTGAGTTCAACAGAAGCAGGCGGATCTCTGTGAGTTCGAGGCCAGCCCGGTCTACATAGTGAGTTCCAGGACAGCTGGGGCTACAGGGAGACCCTGCTCTAAAAAAAAAA